GCTACTTGGAGCCAATACACGAATGGGCAAAGGCAGATGTGAACGCTGCCAAAGCCAAGACACCCTCAGTTTCTGACAAGTCAAATTTTGACCAAAACAAACAGTTCCATGTTCTGCCATTAAACAGCCGTAGTTTTGGTCTTGCTGAACCTCCAAGGCTTGATCTTCCTCTCAAAAAGCTCATCGACCTCGACCGCAGTGCGTCTATGAGATGTTAGTACATAGTGTTCAGTATACTGTTCAATGTTCTGTTACTAACCCCGATGTATCCGGAAGTAAAAGCCATGTGCCAATAAGGAAAGGCAGTCCGACACCAGCGTAGAACCAGCCAGTCTTGAAACCCCAGTTCCACTTGTTGGCATTGACCATATATGGGGTGAGTACGTTCATGATAACTCCAGCAACACAAGTGCAGGCAGCTCCAAAACCAGCAGTGTAAGGGCGAAGACGCAGGGAGGATATCTCAGCTATGAAGCCCCAACCAGCAGCACCGTTAGAGATCATTCCAACGTCTGAAGACTGTAAGTACCACTGCAAGGCTATGGGATAAGGGAAGATACTTACTCCAGAGGCATACGAACAGCACAAAGATGTTCGAGGTCGCTGCTGTCCTAGGGATCAGACCAAGAATTCCAATGACTACACAGGAGGTCCACGAAAGCGTCGTGGCGTAGCATGAGATACGACGTCGTCCAATCTTATCGGCCACCAAAACGACGATCAACAGCGTTGTGATATTAATAGAAGACGTAATGCATTTAATCGTAAAGGGGTCAGCCAGGCCGGCTTGCTGGAAGAAGTAGGTTCCGAAGGTCGCAAAAAGTGTTAGGCCAATGAATTGTTGGGTCAGGTTCGGCCACAGCGAGATGACAGTTCGAAGGCCATCGATTCCACGAAAGATGGCATACCAGTGCTCTTTCTTCTGCTGGGCCGCGACCTCCCTCTCATGCTCAAAGGTTTGGACGATTATCTGGTACTGACGCTCTTCGTCATAGTCGACAACGCCGCGGTTGAGCCTCAGCAGCTGCTTCTTAGCACGATCTGCGTTACCGCGACTGACGCACCAGGCAGGTGACTCTGGGAGTAAGACGTAAACGAGACACATGATACCAATCTGAGCCCATTGGGTATAAATTGGTGTAAGCCAGATGTTGGGGTTCTTTCGGTTCAGAAGCTGCAAGGCGATATAGGCGAAGAAGGATCCGATAGTCCACCAGAGACTGTAGCACATGAGAAGACCTCCGCGGATGCGAGTCGGTGCGCACTCAGAGATATAGACTGGCAGGGTCGATTGAAGACAGCCAACTCCGATACCCGCAAGGAGTTTAGCTGCGAGCCAAACCGGCCAGGTCCTGGCTAGAGTCTCACACAAGACACTGCTGACGAGGATAGTCCAATACGTCCACATAGCAATCTTGCGGCCATATCTGTCGGATAGGAAGGGAATCGTCAACATGCCAATGATTTGACCAACGGACATGATGGAACTCCAGCCAGCAAGGATAGGAGCAGTGAGGTATTCGTCTCCGTCGGCGTTGGTCGCAGTTGCAAATTGATGGACGAAGCCCTTGTTGGCGATGATACTGCCGTTGATACTGGCTCGGGTTAGTACGGCATGCACATGTGTTTAAGAGAGATGACTGAAACGTACCCAATCTGATATCCATCAGTAGCAGCGCTGAATGCAGCAGCGAAGCAATACGCAGTAGCAACTTTGAAGACTTTGACGGTTTGCCACAAGCTTAGGGACTCATATCCTGAAGAAAGTTGCCCTGCTTGGACTTTGACTTCAGAGGCTTTCATGGCTTGCTCGACGTGGAACTCCGCAACGTCATCGTCGAGCTTGGAGGTATCACCTTCTTGTTTGGACTCGATTGAAGACATCTTAACTGTTGTTGATGGTAGGAGAAGATGGATGAGTGATGTAGATCAACAGGCTGTCGGGCGTAAGCCTTTAAGTATTCTCGTCTGATCCGACAGTATGGATCTAATATTTTTCCCCATGGGGTTGTCGCGAGGGCTTTGCTCGAAATCTCGGGGAGAAATACCGGGGGCGAAGGTCACGGACTGCAGTCTATTCCTTGAGTCTCGTGGCAGCTGATAGAACGATGTGGGGTACAGCTAGCCTCAGCAAGATCACGACCATCAAAGATACTGCAAATCTCTGGTTAATATTTTAGCCGTTCGTTGCAGTTGAGCTATTGGTGATATGAAGGCTGAAATACACGCTTCATGGTTGCAAATGCTTTTCCTACTGGATCTTACCACGAAACTAGTGCAGAAATATTGAAGTATTTGCTTAGTGGCGGCTCTAGACCTCTGATATTGTCAAACACGGGACTAACATCGGGGAGGCTCCCCGCTGCCTACACCCGATTGGGCTCCGTTGATTGGCTGACGAAGTTCCAACGAATCGGGGAGCCTCCCCGACAACCAATCAGAGACAGATAAGCGATGGGGCCATAACTCAACCTCCAGAGACATGACAGTGACACTTTTATCAATCTCGGTTCATCTTGGGGCGAGAGTCACTATTCTCGGGCTTTTGCGGTCCTTGGTTCTTCCTTTGGAGAATTAATTATCCTCCTGCTTGCTTCTTGCTGCGTCCTTCCTCTCGAGACAACGTGGTCCAGGAATCGAACAGTTCCAATCCCCAAGTAACCATGGCCCAAGAGTTTGAGCATATCGCAAACGACCTACTCCCCAAACCTCATCGATGTATCCGACTTCCCCAGAGGATAGCCAGATTCGAAAAAGCCAGCCCGTCATTCTTTGGCCTCAAGGCTCGCACCGCTGACCATGACATCAACGACTTACCGTCACTGTCTTGGGGGAAAGGATCCGACTTCATCTTAGACTTTGGCATACATATGGTTGGCTATCTATCATTCCACTTGGACTACGTCGGGCCAAATATGGACGCTCCGTGTCGATTGCGTCTCACGTTTGGCGAGTCCCCACTTGATGTGACGATGGATATGAACGATGTGAATACCTGGATCAGCACTGCTTGGCTTCCCGAAGAGATCATCAATGTCGACATATGTCCGCAGATAATAAACCTCCCTCGCCGATACTCTTTCAGATACCTCCGTGTTCAGATCATCGATACCTCTCCTAAGTTTAAGGTATCGTTCTCGAACGTACAATGCGAATCAGTCAGCGCCGTCAGTCAAGACCATCACATCGAAGCAGTTGAGTTTTCAGATCCTCTACTACAGGACATCGACCACATTTGCATCTCTACATTGCGAGACTGTATGCAAACCGTGTTCGAAGATGGCCCGAGACGAGATAGGAGGCTGTGGATTGGGGACCTCCGCCTACAAGCGCTGGCAAATTACAGCACGTTTCGAGACTTCAACCTCGTCAAAAGATGTCTGTTCCAGTTTGCAGCAGTTCGAAATGCGGATGGCTCCTTACCAGCCTGCATCTTCGAAAAGCCCACGTTGACGGCTTCGACAGACTACATCGCCGACTATGATGCTCTATTTGCCGCCATTGTTCATGACTATGTTGAGGCTTCTGGGGATATGGAAACAGGGCATCTTCTTTGGGAGACTGTTCTGGACTGCCCAAAGCGAATGCTGCGCAGTCTCAATCTGCCCTCCTTCGCTTTCGAGGCTGAAAGCAGCAAGCACTTTATTTTTCTCGACTGGGCCAAAGGTCTTGATAAGAGCGCGGGAGCACATGGCTTGCTACTTTATTGCCTGAAAATTACGAATAAGCTCGCTATGCAGCTGAATAAGCAGCCACCGTACGACGAATTGATCCTCAAGATGACAGGCGCTGCGACCTCGTTCCTGAAGGATGGTGTCTTTGTGTCTGGAGAATCTCAGCAGGTCAGCTTCGCGTCAGCTGCGTGGCTAGTTCTATGCGAAGCCTTCCCTCCAGAAATCGCCCGAACATCTCTCCTCGCCACGCTTGCACATCCAGAAGCTGTGAAGCCACTTACCCCCTATCTATGGCACCACGTTTGCGACGCTCTCGCAATGGTTGGGTGTTATGACGAATGCGTTGATCTTATTAAGTCTTATTGGGGCGGTATGGTGACGGCAGGGGCTGACACGTTCTGGGAATGTTATGATGCGCAGGATTGTATGGCGAGTCCGTACGGGGATGTAAGGAATAACAGTTGGTGTCATGCTTGGAGCTGTACGCCGACGTATCTGCTTAGGACGACGCTGCGGGATACGGTCAAAGCCAGAGGTGTAGGGAAGGTCACGATGGATGAGCTAGACCAAAGGTGGATCGAGAGGTCTCTGGGTTATTCCATAGCAGGATGGGGTTGGCGGTTCAGTGTCAACTTTCCCACATTGTTTGTGAATTGCGACTAACATTGGAACCGAAATGAGAAAGCATAAGGCCTTGAAGTGGAATATTAAGATAACCTCAGCAAAATATAATCCAAAATTAGACTAAGCTCATAATAGATCACCTGAATCTTTTTATAATTTAGGATCAAGGTCCTGAATTTTCTTGCCTCGCCTAGGGTAGGCCTTTTCTCGGCAACAAATAGATGACATCCACTAACATAAAAATTACGGCGCTAAGCTACACTGGACTAGCATGCCCCAGCTTTTCACTCCGCTCATTTCATTCATAAACCCTGCCTGCACGCGGTCGGGGAGCAGCCGAATGTCCCAAGTTACTCTGCTCAATACAGTCTCCTATCTTCCGCGATGCAGTCTCAAGCCCACATTCAAGACCATGCTAGTCGCCCGAGAAAGAGAACTCGTCTCGACCCACAGCCGAATGCAACAGGCAGAGACGCCCAGCCAACCCGAAGACGTGTTGCTGTAGCGTGCAAAGTGTGCCGCTCAAGGAAGACCAAGTGCGACAGCCGCTGGCCTGTCTGCAGCTACTGTGAGAAGAGCAGCTCGGAGTGTCGGTACGATACTGTAGACTCGGCAGATCGGCCCTTGTATGTTTCCTCTTCGTTTTCTTAACGACATGAACTGACCAAGATCTTTTGCGGCCGAAGGAGTCATGACTTGGGCATGCAGATCTTACAGGCCGTCCAAGACCTGGCTCAAGATGTAAAGGAACAACAGTCTTCGGGCGTAGCCGATACACTCTCTCAAGCCCACCAGCCAACAAGGCCCAGTGAAGCTGACTCCCTGGTCAACTTAACTGCTACACCGCGGTCCATTCCAGCTCCCGAAGGTCACGTCGAGAGATTCTCCGAAGGCCTCGACAGCGTCTTGAAATGGAATGTGTTCCCTTTAGATGTCAACCATATCCCTATCGATAACGGGAGCTTGATGGCTATGCCAGACGAGCTCCCTCCAATAAGTTTCCCAGAGTTAAAGAGGCTGCAGAAAAGCTATCTCAGTACTGTCCACAGCGTCAATCCCATTCTAGACGTCGCTGTACTCGACCAGTACGTTATAAAGGTTTCAGAAAACGGACTGGACTGGACGACGCAGACATGTCTTGTTGCCCTTGTGTGTGCCATCGGTGCATTGTGTCAGGACCCGCATGTCGAAACACCCAGAAGCAACAACAGTTGGGATGTTGACCAAACGACGGATATTGCGTATAGGTACTGGAGCGTCGCTTGCAAAAGGCTCGGGAGAGCAATGAGTCACAATACATTGGAGTCAGCCCAGTGTTTGTGTTTGGCAGGGTAAGATGCCTTGATGCAGAGGACATACCTCTCAGACTTCCCCGACACGGCTGCAAGCATATTGACGTGAGTTACAGCATCTGGTTTATGTGCAATTTACAGCCACTCGAGGCCTGGAGGTACTTCACCATGGCCGGAAACTCCTGCTACTCTGCAATATGGGCGAGGTAAGACATAATCAGGTTATCAACGACGATGTCAACGCTCACAATTTGTAGGGAACCCACTATGTCTGCTGGGCCGCCGAATTCCCCCTCCAGTCCACAAGCAATCAAACAAAGCATTTTCTACACTGCATATAAATCGGAAGTGTACGTAAGCAGCCATGCCTGTATATCTTATGACTGACCTGCCCGTCTGCACATAGCGAGATCCGCTACGAAATACCCAGTTTACCAGGCTCAATGCTGGAACACATCGAGGATCGCCTCACGTTTCCGTCGCCACCAGCAGCGAACTGTCTGTTCGACGAGACTATAGCTTGGTATTACTTCCTCGCAGACATCGCCGCCCGGCATTTGATCAACCGGATCGTCGATGCCAAGGTCGAGATCTCTGATAGCCCCAGTGAGGTGCAAGCCAACTCTTTGCTGCGTTCATATGAGGTTTTTGGCTCGCAGCTACAAGACTGGTATCTATCCCTCCCACCAGAGATATCGTTCCCGCCGCCGGATGCAACTATTTCCTCCGAGTCGAATATCTACAAAAGAATCCTCCGTTCACGGTATCTATTTATCAAGGAGCTTCTGTGTCGGCCGTTTGTACGGCTGTGTCTAAACTACGAACTTAAACTCCCCAGTGCTCTGGATGATGAGATACTCAGTATAGCCTCCTTGGGCCTCCAGTATTGTGCCTGGAGACTGAAAGCTGTGGATCGAATGAACAAACTGGACCATGGACTGTGGATATGGATTCGAAATAGTACAGCTTGTTCCATGATACTGATTGGTGCTGCTCGGAGCCTCCAGTCCCAGTCCGCAACTGCATCTGGGCGACTAGTTCTTCCTGGAGATTGGCGTGAGACTGTTGTTAGTTTCTTGCATGGACTTGAAAAGTATTCTCACGAAACGAGAGGTGGCGTAGCTTCGTGCTATCAACTTGTGACATGGGGTCTTGACGGGTTTCAACCAAGCTCACCAGATATCATTCAAGAGTTATAATGAACCTCATAGTACGTAATTCTTGAAAATTAACCATCTTAGTCTAACTGAAACTTTGCTCCTGTTCTCAGGCGTTCCCCATATTTGTAGGATATAACAATCATAGTAATCATAGCCAAAGATACACCCGCAAGCAGTGTATTTCCCCATCCCTGGCCAATGGCATCAAACATCTTTGGACCAGCAAGAGGCAAAAGCGCACCTCCAATACTCCTCAGCACTGTATTCGCCGCAGTAGCACTAGCGGCATAAGTAGGGAACGCGTCAACCAAGTAAGTGCTCACAGATGTAAACACAGTAATCATTCCGAAGCCAATCATGAATGTGCCGATAACAGGCACAAACCAAAAGACTCCATACTCAGTCGTCCATCCATATATCAACAACCCGACTGGGATTATTGCACTACATGGGATCATCAGGGGGAGTCGGTACTCGGGCTTGAGTTCACCGCCCCGGGCCATTCTTCTGAGAATTGGATCTGAGACCATGCCGAAGAGTATCAGTCCGACAATTTGACCGCATCCGAAGCCGAGATAGATAAGACCGACGTTGGTGACTATGCCGTATTTCGTTTTGAAGGTCTCGGAGACTGTCGTGAATAAAAGATATAGGGTTCCGTAGGCGATCGCGGTCAGGAATGAGAGTCCGAAGATGATCGGTGACAAGAAAAGCATCTTCAATGGGCGGGCCAGACTTCGTTTGATGAGTTGTCTGTGCGGTGTAGTGGGTGATGAGTCTTCAGTGTCACGCTCTTTTCGTAGTGCCTTGAGCTTCTTTCTCTGAATGCTTGGATGATGAGTCTCTTTTTGGACGAAGGCGCAGACAACAAGCACAGCTCCAGTCTGTAAGAACATGTCAATACAACCAGGATAATAAACCACCAGGAACAAATTTCCCTACCATTATAATAAGCAGCCAAAAGTTCCATCTCCACCCCAGACCTCTCGAGACATACGCACCAACAGCAGGCCCAAGACTCGGGCCCAGCAAAACAGGCATGTTCCAAATAGCCATAGCTCGACCACGTTCCTGCTGAGAAAAACAGTCTGCAACGCTCGCAGGTCCGATAGTCAACGGACACGCGCCCGCCAAGCCGGTCAGGAGACGGAAGATTATAAGCATAGGCATGTTGACCGACAGAGCGCATGCGATGTTTGTAAGCAGGAAAGTGACCATGCAGATGCGGTATATGGGGAGTCGACCATAGATCTCGCTGAGCGGGGCGAGGAAGAGAGGACCGAAGGCGTAGCCGAGGAGGTAGATTGATACCATGAATGAACCAATGTTGGGATTCGTTTCGTGCATTTCGTCCATGATGGGCTGGATTGCTGGTGCGATCATGGATGATGCAAAGGGGCTGTTGTGAGGGGAATCTGTCAGCAAAATGGAATCGACTCGGTCGCTTTGATGAGAGCACGTACGTTAAGAGTGTCAGAATAGATACTATCATGATATTTGTCCATTTCTTGGAATTTGGCCAATTCAATGGTAGATCTGGGTCATCTGGACCGTCCGAATCCAGGCAATGACTGACAGTGTGAGGCGGGCCCTCTCGTTCATCTTTTTCTGTCATGGCTGGTGTTGGAGGAAGGGTATCCTGCGAGGTTGATTCGATGTTGTTGGCCATGTCTGTATTGACCGCGATGTCGATGGTCAAGGCATAGGCAGTATCAGTCGACAAATAAGAGTCATATATAGTCACCCACTGATATCAGTTGGTCTTTGAACAGCCTTTGAAGGAAGAGAAATAAGAGTTATGGAGGGAAAGAATGCAAGGCCATCTACTTCGAATGCGTCCATCAGATCGCCATCGGAATCATGGTGTTTAACCCCGTCGGCGGAGCTCCCCGATACAAAACCCACCCTTCCGCCACCTATCAGCAGGTTGCATACGCTAACAAGGGTATACCAACCGATGCTTAATGACGTTAGCCTTCCGGAGTGCTCCTCTAGTGGCTAGACTAGTTTCTACAGTATTAAAGATGAGAGCCTACAGGATCAAGTGACTCGTCATGACCCTGTCTCAGGGAATTCTGAAAATAAGAATTTTACCGCCGTATTAAAATAAAGTATGTATCTCGTTACACCGGAGAGAAACACATTAACTGTAATGTGGTCTTCTTTCAATTTTTCTTATAGTTAATGTTTTAAGTCGACAAGGGAACCATTATTTGAAGGCATCACTCTTTTCCCAAGCTATTGGCCTAGAAAGCTGAATTCGCCACTGATAAACACAATCCATCCCAGTCTGAGATTCATGGCCAAAGAATGAATAACTCCGTGTGCTGAGAGCTCAGATAATGCGAAGCCTTTCATGGATTCCTTCTCATACTATTTAGTATATTCCTCAAAGCCCAGTCCATCTAGTTGTTGCCTCTACATGCAGATCCCCCTCAAGCAAAATCTTGTTACTACTCGATCCTACCAATACTGTATAGACACCTTTCTCGCTTAGCCAACAATGTAACTCCTCATCCCAAAATGATGTAGTGAATCTGTCCAGCGGAATTTCTACTCTCTTCATCTCACCAGGTTGCAAGTACGTTTTCTTAAAACCCTTGAGTTCCTTTTTAGGTCTCTGGATAGAAGATGTAGCCTCGTCGGCAGCGATGTAAAGCTGGGACACTTCTGATCCAGGCACGGAACCAGAGTTGGTGATCTCGAAGCTTACGTGCGAAGATGTGACGTTCAGCTTGTCGTAGGCAAACGTAGTATAGGATAGACCGTGTCTGTCAATGTCACGTTAGGTTGTCTTAAGCAAAGTCTTGTCGTGTTCACTCACCCAAAAGGATACAGCACCTCACGCTCGACCTTTTCGTAATACCGATACCCAACATAGATATCTTCACCATAGATAACACGTCCCCTCTCGCTACCAAAGTTCAAAAAGGTTGGCGTGTCTTGTATGCGGCGTGGAAACGAAAGCGGGAGCTTTCCACTCGGGCAGGTTGTGCCGAACAAAACATCAGCAATACCATTTCCAGTCTCGTTTCCAGCTAACCAAGCATGTACGTGAGTCTTGGCCCCTTCAGCCCAGAGCATGCTGAACGGAGTGCCGCTCTGCGTCACAACGATGGTGTCAGGAGCTGCAGCCAAGACAGCCGACGCAAGCCGAGGAAGTGTTCCAGGAAGATCCATATGAGGCCTGTCAAAGCCCTCAGACTCCTGGTCACTCGTCATCCCAACGCACAAAATGGTCACATCGGACTGCAGCGCTGCGGAGACGGCTTTCTGGATCCCGACTTCAGGGTCAACTGCACTCGCTAGACCAACTCTCCCTGCACCACCGCCAAAGTTGACCACGCCTGGCTTGACGAGCTTGGAAGACGGTGCGCTCTCATACTCGATGGTGATGCGGTACTTCTGGCCCTGAACAAGGTGCATCTCAGCCTTTTCCTCGACGGTTCCTTTACCAAAAAAGAATGTCCCGCTGCGCTGGACGAGACTATTATCGATCAAGAGCTGGCCATCGACATAGAGTCGCGCAGTGCCATAGACTGCAAGACCAAACTCAAAAGGTCCTGATTCTTGAATGACGAGATCGCCTTCTACAGTTGCATAGAAGAGCTTATCTAGTTTCGGATGCGAGTAGCCCATCAGCAGCCAAGATGAGTCAGGTAGATGGCTCTCGTCGATAATCTCGCGGTCAGGTACACTGGGACTCTCACTGTAGAAGCGCATTCGCATACCCGGTGCTCCCTCCGGCGTGGTGATCATACCCCCCGGTATCAGTGGATTCCACCCTCTTGCCGAAGCACCAACTTCGTATCGTACCTCTACATCAGGTGGTAGTTGGGCCACGATCCCGTCGTAGGGAGAAACAGTGTAGTAAGGCTGAAGATGGGCAGAGCCGCCTCCACAGAAGGAAGTGGTCTTCATGTTTGGTCCGATCAAAGCAATGCTTTTGAAAGGTCGCTTGAGGGGAAGTTGGCCACTTTCATTCTTCAACAAGACAACGCTGTCACCGGCGAGCTTTCGGTTGAGCTGCCTGTCTTCAGGAAAGTTGCGTCCTCCTTCTTCTGCCGCAACAGGAACCTTTGTGCATCTTTGGACAAATTCCAGAACGTTTCGCGCTCGCGTGTCTATGGTTGACCGGGACACCTTTCGGGTTGATACGGCAAGGTCGAGAAGCTGGCCACGTTGCCTCGTTGGTCCCGGCATTTCGAGATCCAATCCTGCATTGATGGCTTCGGTAGTAGAGTAAGTCCCAAACCTTCAGCAAGTGATGAGTGTTAGTATCAGCTTTGGTTTAGGAGGAACTGCGGGGATTTCTGTGTACCAATCGCTCATGATCAGACCCTTCCACTGCCACTCCTCGCGGAGCAACGAGTCAAGAAAATCCCTGTTTTCTGAAACATGTTTGCCATTGACTTTGTTATAGCAAGCCATGACACCGCCGGGAGCTGCATCACTAAGCGCGATCTGAAAAGGAAGCATGTGGATCTCCCTCAAGGCACGCTCACTGGCAACAACGTTGACTCCAACTCTCTCATGTTCCTGGTCATTCGCCAGCCAGTGCTTAATAACGGACACAACACCCATAGACTGCACGCCCTTGATGTAAGCAGCAGCTAATTTGCCCGTTGCGTAAGGGTCCTCTGCCATTGACTCAAAGCCACGGCCCCCGAGCGGAGAGCGCTGGATGCACACTGTAGGACCGAGCCAGCAGTGGGCGCCCTTTGCTATACACTCGTTACCTATGAGCGTGCCCGCTTTGTATAGGAGGTCTTGGTCCCAGGTGGCTGCTAAACCGGTACCACAGGGCAAGCAGGCAGCAGGTACGCCGTCGACGAATTTGGTTCCTCGCACGCCATTTGGCCCGTCGCTGACACGCACGTATGGAACGTTGAATGCTGGGAGGGGGTTCGTGTGCCAAAAGTCTCGGCCTGAGGAAGATACGAGGTAGGTTAGCAAGTCGAGTGGTCTTGGGCTAGGGAAGAGAGTCTTAGATTGCTACTCACCAGAGAGCAGAGATATTTTGTCAGAGACAGATGCAT